GAAAGCGCTATGAGAATTTCAAAGTTATTAACATTGCAAAGAAAACAAAACGCCTTCTAACATAAAAATCATTCTTCATAAATTCTCCTCGGCGGCGAAGAAAAGACAACTCTCGAAGAAAGGAGAAATAAAATTCAGAAACCTTTTCTCCCATAATGAAAAAGACGTCCCGCTTTTTTAATATGTATCATTCAAATATATTTCAGGAAATTCTCAATAAAAGAAACGAACAAAGAGAAATAACGCAAGATTTTCAATAAACGTGCGCCATTTTTTTATTTTATTAGACTTGTATATGCTTGATAAATTTTTTTTTTATTTTCGAGGCAGAAGAAAACAGCCTTATAAAGTTTGTTATTGGTATTATTATTAAATCGCCAGCTCCGGAATGTTTTGAAAATCAATATTTTTCCGTTTTCTAAATGCGGAAGTTGGGGGTATCTTTTACAGGAACGTATTTATGGAATTATAATCAGTTAACAAGCATTTTTTTTATTTTATTTATTATTATTACAATGAAATTTTGCTTTTATTTTATTGATTCCGAAGAATCTGATGTATCGATTTTTTAAAATGAAACTTTTTATGTGAGGACGGAACCGGTGCTGTGGAGTAAGCAGTTGAAATGTTCGACTGCGACTCTATTTAAATTTTTACCAAATTCTTGAAAAATTTTTCATATTGCAGCTAATTAAAAATAAGTTTCAAATAAAGTATTTCGAATTTTTTTTGCGTTTAATTTTATTTTATAGATTGATCCGAACAACTTGATTTATCAAGTTCATCAGAATTTGATTAAATTTGAGTTTAGAGTTTAATTCCTTAGAATTTGATTAAAGTAAAACTTTTTATCTGAGAACAAGACCAGAGCCGGGTAGTCGGTATTGGAGTGGTACAATTCCCGCTCCATTCTAATTTTTACAGAATTCTTATAAAATATTAATATTATTGATAGTTGAAAATTAATTTCAAATAAAGTATTTCTGATTTCTTTTACGTTTAAATTTCATTTTATTGATTGATCTGAAGAACTTGATTTATAAAAATTCATCAGAATTCGATTAAGTTTGAGTTTAGAGCTTAATTCCTTAGAGTGTGATTAAAGTAAAACGTTTTATCTAAGAACAAAACCAGAACCGGGTAGTCGGTATTTGAGTGATTCGACTCCCACTCCATTCTAATTTTTACAGAATTCTTTAAAAAATATTAATATTATTGCTAGTTAAAAATTAATTTCAAGCAAAGTATTTCTGATTTTTTTTACGTTTAAATTTTATTTTATTGATTGATCTGAAGAACTTGATTTATTAAATTCATCAGAATTCGATTAAGTTTGAGTTTAGAATTTAATTCCTTAGAATGTAACTAAAGTAAAACTTTTCATCTGAGAACAAAAACAGAGCTGCGGAGTCAGTAGTTGAAATATTCGACTCCAACTAAATTCAAATTTTTACCGAATTCTTAAGAAGCATTCATATTATTGCTAGTTAAAAATTAATTTCAAATAAGGTATTTCTAATTTTTTCACGTTTAATTTTATTTTATTGAATTATCTGAAGAACTTGATTTATCAAATTCATCAGAATTTGATTAAGTTTGAGTTTAAATCTTTACAATTTGATTAAATTAAAACTTTTTATCTGAGAACAAAACCAGAGCCGGGTAGTCGATAGTTGAAATGCTCGACTCCGTTCAAATTTTTACCGAATTCTTAAAAATAATTAATATTATTGTAAATAAAAAGTTAATCTCAAGTTAAATATTTCAAATTTTTTTATGTTTAATTTTATGTTTTTGATTGATCTGAAGGACTTGATTCATCATATTCATCAGAGTTTGATTAAGTTTGAGTTTAGAGTTTAATTCTTTAGAATTTGATTAAAGTAAATTTTTTATGAGAACAAAGTCGGATTTGGTATTTGAAAATTTTGACTATAATTTACACTCTATTAAAATTACCGAATTCTTGAAAATTATTAAATAATATTGCTGAACGTAATAGTTCAGTGCCAGCTATTAGGAAAAAAAAATATTATAACTAAGTAAATGTTAATTTCAAATTATATATTTCTATTTTATCAAGAATTATATATATTTTCTAAAATTATATTTTATATTATGGCACAACAGTTAAAGATATAGATCTTGAAAGTATTTGTACCAAATATTCATAAACCGGAATAGTACTACAATAATACATTAAAACCGTTTGCATTATCATTTTAATTAAGTTTGCAATATCGGTTAAATAAATTTAGTTTTGGAATTTATGAATCAAAAGATAATTTATTAATAAAATACACAATTGAACAGAATTTGAATTGTATTTTAATTTCTAAGAAACACATGTAATTTTTCTTAATAGTATAACTAAATTATTACTAATATTTGATTAACAATAAATGCATATGTAATTTTAACAACAGTTTAAAAGCTCGTTTTTTTTTCTCAATTGTTTTCGGTGTTTTTCTCCCCTATAGTTTCCATAATTGTCTGTTTTTTTTTTGTTTTTTTTATTAGTTCAATTATATATATGCTCAAGAATGCTCAAATATTATATATATTAATTTTGTGATAAGCTACTAGTTAAATTATTGTCATTATATTTATTCGAGTATTAATTATTTTAGTTTACATATTTATAAATGTTGGTCTAAATAATTTTCGGAAAAAATGTTTTTGAAACTATCCTTTGGTTAAAATTGGCAATTCTTTGGGGGCCAATTGCGATTGCGTGCAACGTCCAAATAGAACGGCCAATAGAAACAAAATATAATTAAAAATTTCAAACCTTTTTTGAAACTAAAAAAAAAATCTTTGAGACAGTATGCTTGGAAATCCAAATAGCAATATTCAAATATTTAAGGCTTTTGTTCTCGTTTCAAAATATTTAAGGCTTATAATTTAAGTAAGAGGGTGGAAAATATTGTCACAACGTGAAGAAAAATGCCCTGTTAATTGATTAAAATTCATAATGTAAAGTTTAATTTGAACTATGGATATTTGAATGAATGTGCTTCGATGCTGTTGCTGATATAGTGTTGCTCGTTTATTGATGCTCGCATAAAAAATAGTAGCTTTAGTCGATAAACCACAATGGAATAGCCAGAAACTAAGCGAGAAAAAAACACAATGCAAAATCAAAGAATTCGTTCTCCTGTTACTAGTAAACAAACTCAAGTATAGTCTGGCAAACACAAGATGAACTCTCAGCCTGATCGCTTTTTGTAAAGGTATCTGAAGTTGTCTGTTGCCATGGAAACAAGAGTAAAACTATTTCTGATAGTAAAGGATTGAAGAAATGATATGAATCTCCCTTCCCTCTCGAAAACAAATGGACTAACCCAATACCAATTTTTATAGTGATTTATTTTCGTAACCACAGTAAGGATGTCTGATATCTGGAATAGGGCTCTTTAAAACTCGGCAGTATTTTTCGAATTTTTCTTATAGAAATTCCAATTATTAACTGTTTATACTAACTTTCTATTGTTCTTCAAAACTTATTGAAATAATCACAAACCAATGGAAAAGTTCATAATACTTACCACTTTCCCATATTATACAAGTTGTTCCTTAAACCATGGAAATCTATATTTAGACCTTTAATCTGTATTTTTTAAATCCTTGTCAAAAATAAGGCTGAAAAAATTTGCAGGTTAGGGGTTACAAAGTGTTGTTTAATCTATTAAAAAAATTATAATGAGTAAATATATTGTTTGTGTTACATGAATCTTCAAACTTTAATAATCTTTACCAGAATAAGTTTTATTTTCCTGATACACGTAGGTGTTATCGATCCCTCAGAAACTATTCATTCGATTACTGCATGAGATTATATATAATCGAGTTCCCTACTTGTAACTCATGAATTTTTATTATTTATTTACTGTTATTTGTAAGTTTGTAGAATGAATTAGTATCATACATGACATGAATTAGTATCATATTAATAAGTTTTAAAATTGCGCAAAAGAGTTGGTATCGGTTGGTTAATTTGTAACGAAGAAAAGCTCAACTATGCTCCAACTGGTATCATCTCTATCAATCTATTTTCGCCAACTTTTATAAAATTGAATCCAGGATTTTTTTGATAAGGATGATGAATCTGAAAAAAAAAATTGTTTGTTTGTTACACTGTAAAAAACTGTGGTGTAAGACCCATCCTAATTTGATGTTGGAACACTCAAAATATTGTTTGAATGAATATCTTTCATTTTTAGATAATAGCGAATCGACGTGTAAAATTCATATACACTTTATAGAGTGAAAATTAATCTAAAAGCTAATTGTTGAGAAAGCCTATGCCAAGCTCACATGCATTTGCTCCATTCATAAATTATTTTCGCCAATTTTGTCATACGTTCAATGATAGTTTATCTACAAACCAAGCACAAGAAGGTAAAAACTTGTCTCTCACGCTGTCAAACATTCAACAGAAACGGAATAAAACGGTTATAAGGGGTAAGCATGTTTTTAGTTGTAAAGGTAATTATGTTCTCATAAGAAGAATTACATAAATCTGTTAGCTGAATTAAATAATTTAATAACATTGAATCCTTATCCACTTCTGCTCTGTTAAACCTAGTTCAAATATGATATTAATATTCTCCTTAAGCTGTGTAAGTTTGATTAGCAAAGAAATTTTATTTCAATAATTATTGTATACATGCTACCTAAATTAATGATTCGTTCTTTATATTATACCGTAAAAATAATTGTGTTGACTCTTATGTGTATCGTATCTTATAGTAATTATAGATTTTAGTGGTACTAAATAACGAAGATGGTGGCGGTTACTTTACACTAAGTATCGTATTAAAATCGGTCCAGTAGCTCTAGAGATAATCGACCAAGTCTGTAAATTATCTTAATTCTTACACCAATGTATGTTAATGATATTAAAAATTATCCAAACTGTTTCCTATTAGAAATATATTTTAAACTCATTATTTTCTACATCTTAAAGACATTTATATATACAAATTTTTTTTTTTCAGAGCCGGCCTACAAAGGAGCGTGGGGCTCCCCTTCACCCACACAACCACAAGGTGAGTGAATAATTACTTCACTTCATTTCTAATGGAACATCATCACATTTTTTTTAAAAAATCAAATACTTCGCAGAGTACATTTTATTATGCCATACCAAATATTTTGACTCTGCAACTATTTATACAGTGAAATATAAATAATAAAATAAAGAAAGAAAATCTATACAGGACATCTATAAATGTGCACCTATATTTTATCTGTATTTTACCAAATCTTTTTAACAATCTTTTATAGGATATCTTTTTACCAATCTTTTATAGGATATCTTTTTACCAAATTTTAGTAAAAATATCAAAAATTTAAGCAAATATTAAATAAAAAAGTTATGAATTTATTAAAAACGCTACTTTTGCTATAATTTTTAGAAATAAATTAATATTTTATAAAAATTTTGTTTTACATGAAGTTTAGAACCAATACTTTTAAAAATGTGCTTTGATATAGGTATGAAAATGTTTTCTTTACAAAATATGAACTTGAGTGAGTTAAATATCTTCCAATTCTTCCAATGAGTAAAATATCTTCCAATTCTTTCAATAAATGAAATATCTTCCAATTCTTTCAATGAGTCAAATATGTTCCCGTCTTCCTTCTGATTACTTCACGATCCCGTAATCTCAGAAACTTCTGTCATTATTAACAAAAAACTCAAACAAGTGCAATTTGAGATGATTGTCGTTATTTCTGATATTTTTACCATTTAAAAAGTTTTTTAAGATTCAAAATAAATCATAATCCAATTGCGATCTCAAAGACACAACAATGTGAAGTCTCACACATTTTTTACACCAGTTACGGAATTATACTGGAGCTTGGTCGAAATTTATGTCGCATCCTTCCATTATCGAAATTAAATTATTACTTATTTTGAAGTTTGCAAAATATTTTAATGTTGAAAATTTCTGTAACTACGCGGATCTGAAATGGTACTTGTTTGAACTTTTTCCTGAAAATGACCGAAACTTTCTGTAATCTTGAGATCATGAAATTACCAGATAGAGGGGAAAAGGTCACTAAACAGAATGGACGATATTTGATTAATCAAATCTCATTTTTTTTACCCATAGGCGAAATGGGTCTTGTTTTGGGTTTTAAGGCGTGCGCACTTTATTTGGACGTCATCCCACTTTTCAAATGCGTTCAAGAGTAATAGTAAACAGTGCGCATGCGTCGTCATTGTACGCTTTGCTATGGCAACCACTGCTGTTTTGATAATTTATTTAGAATTCTTTTTTTTTTCTTCATTTTTTTTTCACCAGCAGTCATTCTTAATGTATTTACATAATAATAATTTAAAATAATTTTTATATTCTTTTATTATTAACTTATAATTACTGCCTTGACGGTGATTTTAATATAAATATGAATACTGAAGGAGGAAAAGTAGTTTGTGACGTCTTGAAACACGTATATAGGTATGATTTGAAAGCCAATCCGACGACAAACATCAATTGAGACAGTTTTTGCAACCCATGATTTGAAACATTGTGGCGTTTAACGGAGTCAATCCAGAAGAAAAAAAGAAATTAAAAAAAAAAAAGGATTTGACCAATGGGTAACCAGTGATCGAAATAGAGCAAGAATTTTTTTTTTTNTTTTTTTTTTTTTTTTTTTTTTTTTTTTGTGAAGCGTCTTTTTTTGTGTGAAGAAATTGCGTTTTACTTCTCACTAAGGGATAACAAGTTAGCTTCATGTCAACCCAATATTAAAATGTAAATTCCTACAGCATTTCATTAAAAAAAAGTATGACACTCAAAAGAAAAAAAAAACTTGCTGTTGTACCAATATTGCTGAAAAATTTAACTGCAAATATGTTTGCTTGTAAATTGTACTCGTAATTGATAATTTAAATTTTAAGGTATGAGAACTATAATAAACTAAATTCAACTCCTTTTTGAGGGAGAAAATGCTTGGTTTGAATGTTGATCTTTTACATTTGCTCTTGCTTATAACATTGTCAAAAGTAGCATTTCGTAATGCAGATATGCATTCCATAATTCTATTCTCATATATTCTATTCTATAATTCCTTCGGTATATCTATTCTAATGCATTCTTTAATTTCAATACACTTGTAATTAAAATTTGTTCAATCAGCCGCCTCAAAACCTCTATCAAAAGGCAGATATTATTTCAACGTTGAAAGAAAAATCTAGATGTTGCAAATTTTATAAATACAGGAAGAAAAAAAACTAGCAAGGAAAAGGAAGAGAGTTCATATATCAATGACACTTTAGTATTATTAAAAATAGGTTCATTGAACGATTTCATTATTTTCACTTTATACGTTAGATTTGTAAATTAATGTTTTACGCAAAACATTAATAAAAAGGAAAAAAAAAAGCTGATTGTCAACAAACACTGAAATCTCTTGTAATTACTATTCCCTATTTTATCAAACGGTAAGTGTCAACAATGTAATTGTTAATCTACAGGCAGTTTTACTTTTATTTTTGACACAAAAGCTAAACTGAATATCAGAAAGAAAAAAAAAGACAGTGTAATTTTATTTTTGGAAAAAAATTATTTATATTTAATATTAAAACCATATAAAAAATAATCAGGTTATTTTATTTTCGACTTATAAACCTTAAATGATATTACTAATTATATCATAGTGTACATTTATTTTTGGCAAATACGCTGTATTCAACACGAAAAATTATACAAAAAATAATCTTGTCTTGTTATTTGTGCCAAATAAACTAAATGTAATATTAAAAATTATTTTTAAAAAAATAATGCATAGTCTTATTTAAAAGGAACAAAACAAAACGTGCCCTTTAGAACATTCTATGGAATGATTCTGTTCGAAACATGAATGATTCGTTCTTCTGTGGCGGATCTAAGAAAGGAAAGGGGCCATCGATCGAGAGCAGCCGAAGGAAGGAAAGAGAGAGCCGCAGGTGCAAATGATACGAAAAGCCGAAAATTTGGTTTTGGCTTTAGAATAGACGGCGGCCCTCACAAATGGTAAAGAGAGAGAGCGAGCCGAAATCTGATTTCTGTTTAGCAATAAATTAAGTGAATGCGCTGAGCGAGTTTTTTTTCTTTCTTTTCTTCTCCCAGATTTTAAAGCACTCGTTCCGGAGCTCGTTAACTCCCCCATTGAGTTTTCGGAAATTTCATTATGAACGCAAACTTTCCAAACTGAAAATTCTTGACTCACATTAATCCTATTTCGAGATAAATTTGATTAAGCCTGAGAAAATGATACATTTATAGATACATCGGTTATTGACGGATAAATATCCGGAATTAATGTACATTTTAAGTGGTTTGGTCAACAATGCAGTTTTATTTATTTATATTGGTTCACGACTTTTGCGTTGCCAAAGAATAAAATAAGATATTTGACAAAACGTCTTTTTTTTGTTGCTTTTTCTTACAAACACAATTTTGTTTCGTTGTAAAATTAGTTTGAACTTTTGCATTTTAAAAATATGCAATAAAATAATTAAACAGAACACTGTTTTTTAATAATGGATTTTGACAGTCCTTTCATATATACATATATACTATATATGTATCCGTCGTTGAACAGCCGACTAAATTTTTCAGGTTTACGACTTCTAATGTTCAAATCCGTAGTCCTGTAATTTTGAACACAATCCAGAAGACAAGGGAACTCCTGGATCAAGTATTGAGAGCAATTTTGCCTTCATGGGGGATTTTTTGATAGAACTAACCTGCATTTGCGTTACATGGAGAGGAAGACCACGACGACCTCCCACGGTTAGCCTGACGGCAAGGGGACTCTAATCCTTGATCCGTCTACCACTGAGGATGTTTCGCGTCAGCATCGTGGTCGCTGCAAGCCGGATGAGGGATTCATATCGACCAGCCATCGCTGGGACTTAATCCCGGTTCACCTCATTGGAAGGCAGACGCTCTATCCCCCGAGCCATCGCGACTCTGACAGTCTTTTTGAATAAAACAACGAAAATATTTAGTGAAAAACATTTTAGTAAATTAACCTAATACTTTACACGTTGAAATAAACACTATTTCGTGCCTTTGTTTCTTATCACAAGGGTTACAATTTTTAAAAAAACATCTAAATCTCTAATACTCATTTAACTGTTCCGTCATAGCATTCTTTGTATTTTAATTTACTTTCCAGTGTTTCTAAGGTTACTTGTCGACTGTTTGTTACCAAATGCTCTTAAGCCTTCTTTTACTCAACTCTGAAAATACTAAGATTGACGCTTTATACTCTCATTCACTAAAAAAGTGCGAGATTTAGAGACTTGGTAAAATTAAACATTGCTGGGTAGTTTAATAAAACCAAAATAAGATCTTTTCTAAAAAAAATTTAACTATTTAAAAAAAATGGACTTATAGCATTTATCCACTTAGTTCTTTAATTATATGTCAAACTAAGAACAAAAGCAAAGAGAGCTCCTTTAAATTAATATTAGAAAATGGTTTTCGCAAAAAGGAATAAGATAAATGAACAAATTTTTAATGTTAAAATCTCACTTAAAATTTTCATCCACTAAAAGTTTTAAAATTATAATTCTAACAAAGAGTGAAAAAAGCATTTTAAACTAGTGTCAGAAAACGCTTATAGTAATTAGGAACAGCTGTATTGTAGCTTTATTGTATTGATACAAAAAAAAATTTTTTTTAAAGGTTTTTATTATTTCATATTGCCATCATAAACTCAAATATTTTAAATTACCTTTCTAGTAAATACCATGAATGAGATTACAAAATGAATGAGTGCACAAAATAAATTTGGAAAGAGAAAATGAAAGAACAACTGATGCGGAATCTCTCTGAAGAACTCAACATCTGATAGATCGAATAATTTCCGAACAATACAATATCAATGAAGCCGAAATTTTAAATTACCATTAAAACGATCGTATTCCAATTTTCGATTTTTTCATTTTAAATTGCATACTTTAAAAAAAAAATATTAGAATTTGGACACCTTACAAATTAAATTTTTTCAATCATATTTTAATTTAATAATAGAAAGTAATAAATAA